TCCTTGAGCGGATAGACCTGCCTGTCCACAACCAGGTATATCTATGCTGTGCTCCGTCTGCAGGGGTGCTGAAGATGTCATGCAGTTTGGTGACTTTAACCGTTTCAATCAGGAATCTGGACATAGAGTCCAGTTCACTCGGAGCCTCTTCGGATTGTCCATCCACATCGATGATACAGTGAAGTCTCCAGCAGTGGGAGCTGCTGCAGAAAGGTTTGCCGCTCACTCTTTACCACCGGAGGTTCATGTTAATTAGTCTCAAGCGAATGTTACTTATTGTCTGCTATGAGGGGGTGCCTGCGCACTGTCTCCTTAGCTTTGGAGATGGTGAAATTGCTTCCTTGTAGCGGAATTTGCCCCTGACCAAATCGAAGGGCTATGGGTCCATAAGCTCAACCATCTCCTGTAGCTGCTGAGGTTTGGTATCCTGCCCTCCTGCAGAAACAGGAGGTCTGCTTTGACATTGGCCAGGTAAGCCAACATGGAAACGTATCATGTAGTAGACTTAACATCATGCACATTAATACTGGCAATTTTAACACCCGTTTTAAGAGTTTATCGAGTTACCCAATATCCATTCACCTGCAGTCTGTTCACTGGGGGACTCCTTGCATCCCCTAGGTGTGGGTGAACTGTTGGACACACTCTGCACTAAGGTAGCCATCCTGTTCTCCCTGGGAGGTGTTTCCATGCTCTGGTTAGCAGGGTTCAGCTCTGAGTCTGACAGAGGGATTGCCTCGGTTGCCCAGAGCTGTGGTGCGGTGGGTACCCCGTGGTTCCCAATGCCTGGAGGTTGGGCTTCACTAGACTCCTTGAGAAGTCTGGCATTTCCAGGTTGGAATGTGCTCCTCTCCTTCTCCACTGTAGTACCCTGCCTCTTTTTCTCTTGATAACCATCCCACTGCATATCTTCATCGGAGGAGGAGTTGGTGGTGTAGCCATCATGCAGCTGCCTTTTTCTGATTTGCTGTAGGGCTTTGGGGACCTGATGTGTTTTTCTTTTGCGTTCACAGGCCCCCCCAACATCCTGGGCAGGCCTTGTAGCGGTGGCCTGCTTCCCCACACAGATTGCAGCTCTTGGACTCCTTGCAGTCCTTAGTCACATGGCCCTCCTGTTTGTAGTTCCTGCAGAGGGTTACTTTGCAGTCTGCTGCCGTGTGTCCTGTCCTCCCACAGGTTCAGCTGCCCCACATACATCAGATAACCTCGGCTCCCTCTGATTGCAAGACTATAGAGGGGGTGGAGGATATTCCTATTGATGTCCGCCTTCAGGGTCGCCGTGACCTTCACTTGCTGGTCCAGATTCGAAATTGGTCCACTACATCGGTGCTGTCTCCTTCAAGCTGCACATACCTTCCCAGGAAGGTCAGGCTTTCTGCTGTCAGGACGTGAGGATTCTACAATTGGATTGTCTCAACCCAGCTCCTCTGTGCAGTGAGAATGAACAATGGTGCTGCAGACAGAATGGAGAGGAGAGCCTCACCTCCTTTTCTCATTGAATACCTTCAGGAGATGCTCACATTGCTTCACACTCCAGAAGGTCACATCGAACTAAATCCTGCTGGGGAAATCCTGCAGGCAGAAAATATCTGCTGCTTGGAACCTGCAGCAATCCAGGAGGACTGTCTTCACGAAGGGCATCTGGTCAACCAGCAATCCTTCCTCCACCTTCTTCACAGTGACCCTGACTGTATGGCAGAGACACTGGCCTGAGGTGCGGGCACTAGCAGAAGCCATAGTTCTGGTTGGTTAGTCACCGAATTGGTATTAGACCAAAGCCAGCATAAAGATCCACCAAATTCAGCTCAACCGATGATCTTCAAGGTTCTGCTCACAATCCAGTGACGATCTCCAGATCTTCCAGTGATAAAGGTTCCTAGCTCAGACCCTGGATCAAGGTGTCTCACCTGTCAGGTAAGTTTGAACTCATTTCCCCAGAGCATTAGTTAGTTTGGATTACTATCCATTGATTTTGCCTCAATGCCTTAATCTCCTCCAAATTGGTCTGAACTGTGGTTACGATTGTGCTGCATAATTAAAGGTATAACAAACTATTCAACTTATGTAGAATTTAAAAACTTAGTGGTGGTAATATTTTAAAATCTTTTAAATTAATATGATTTGTTACAACCCATTAATCTACCTGACCTACTGTAACAATCAAGTACTTATTTTTGTTAATTATAGATTAATATAAGTCCAGATTAGTCACTGGAATATTTGCTGTAGTTCCTAAAATTGTGCCCTTTCTTTGTAGTTTTTAAATTATATTAGTTATAGACCTACAGAGCTAGGCTGCAAAAAAGAACACACGGATCAGATTTTGTGTTATATCTTGTGCCTAACCCTGAAGCTCTGCAGTTATGACTGGCTAGAAAAATGCGTGATTTAAATCTACTGCCGAGAATTGCAGTACATTATAAAAGATCCATCAAGGTGGAAGAACAATTTTTGAATGGCAGCTTTGGTATCCTGTATATACTTGTTTCATATGCATTGTTCAGTGTAATCTACAGTATGGAGTTTATACTACCAAAAGCTAAGTGTTGGATGTTATATATCTCCTAACCATTCTAGATTTTATCATTTACAGCCAAGGCAGGTAGCATTGAAAAAAGCCCTTTAAATATTGGAAGGTAGTTACATTTATCAATGAAGGTTTAGAAGCCAGTTTATTTCGTAGAAATTGCTTTGAAATCAGCTTTGGACCAAAAGGAAATACCCTTTCAGTCATTACAGGATGAAAAGATTTTGCTTTTAAAAACTGCAAAATATCTTGTAAACAGGATTCTACACGTTTGTTTATTTTGTGACTAGTGTCCTGGAAGTGTTAGTATTCCTTGCTTGAGGTGAGAAACTCTTCAAAACTGAATATTCAGAGGCTGAGTAATGTATCACTAGAGTCAAGTTAGCTGGAGCATTGTTGGTGGTGATTCCTGGCTCATAGGCCCGAAGGGTGGACTCCTGTAATGGCAGTGGCTGCAGCAGTAGCAGAGTGGGGCCTCTTGGCTACGGTAGGCCTGGAGTGTGGACTCTTTCAGCAGCGGCGGGTTGTCGACTGCGGTGGTGTTGGTGCCTGGAACAGGACTCCTGGCTGCAGTAGGCCTGGAGCAAGGACCTCTGCAAAAGTTCTGGAGCTATGCTTGGGATCCCGGCCAACAATGATGCACTCTATTTAAGTACTTTCTTTGTATTCTTTTGTACCTCAAAATGGCATTGGATTGTGGTGACAGAACACTTTTCACTGTATCTCCCTCGATATGTGACAATAAGTCATTTATTCATTCATTCAAGAGAATCCTACACAGTGATATTATCTACATATGAATGGTAGAGCACTAGGAAACTCGGAGGAACAAAGGGATTTTGGGATACTTGTCCACAGATCCCTGAAGGTGGCAAGACATGTAAATAGGATGGTTAGGCAGCCATACAGAGCACTTGCCTTTATCAGTCGAGGCGTAGAGTACAAGAGCAGTGAAGTTGTGTTAGAGCTGTACAGAACTTTGATTAGGCAACGGCTGGAGAGCTGTGTGCCATTTTAATCATCGCACCATAGGAAGGATATGATTACACAGGAGGTAATACAGAGGAGATTCACCAGGGTATTGCCTAGAATGGAGTACGTCAACTATGAAAAGAGATTGATAAGCTCAGGTTATTTTCTTTGGAGCAGAGAAAGTTGAGGGGGTACCTGATAGAGATAGATGAGATTTTGAACGGCACGAACAGGTTGAATAGAAAGCAGCGGTTCCCCTTAGTTGAAAGGTCAATAACAAGGGGACGTAATTTTAATGAGAAACACAGGAGGTTTGGAGGGGTTTTGAGGAAAATTTATCTTCTCCCAAATGATATTGAGAGTCTGGAATGCATCGCCTAGGAGCGTAGTTGAGGCAGGTAATGTCACAACCTATGGAAAGTACTTGAGATGAGCGCTTGAAATGTCACAACATTCAAGGCTATAGGCCAAATGCTGGAAAGTGGGTATAAATTCAGCATTGTTTTAGCTGTAGAGATGTGATAGGCCAAAGGACCGCTTCTGTACAGTATGATTCTGTATATGTTTAAAAAACTAAGATAAAAATGCATGAGCAGGCATATTGATACTTCAGGGAAAAGGATGAAAATTTCTGCCCTGCATTCAGCATCCTGAACTGTATTGAACAACAAAAACAACTTCCCTTTCTCATGTGAAAAGTCTGCTGTGTATTCCAGGTACTTGGAAACGGATATGCTGATTTCATTGCAAGGTTACATTTCATTAATATATAGTTAATTTCTAACAATAGATTGTTGATAATGTTTCATTTCTTGCTTTGGTAATATCGAAAGCATAGACTCTGTGATAGCCAATTTGGAAAACAACACCTTGGATCAGAGAAGGGAAACAGGAGATTTTATGTTTAAACAAAATGTCAAGTTTAAAAAAAAATACAACAGATGCTGCCCCAGTTTTGTGTGTCATTGATGCTTGTGTCGTGACTCAATTTTACATGACTATGTAAGCAAACTGACATGATGAAAGCATTTAGAAAGCTAAGTGGGATATTGAGATCTTTGACAGATTGGAAGACTGATGGCTCAGCTCTGCTTGCTGCCATGTAAATTTGTCTGCTTTGAGAAGTTTAAGACCATGTGCCTATAATATTGCCTGTCAGCTTCATATGGTTGAAACGGAAATAGAGTTGCAACAAATAATTTCTCCAACTTGTTGATAGTAGTTTCATAACCCTCATTTTTTAATGTGATAATGAATTTTCCATATTCCCTCATTTATTACTCTTGAAAAATCATCAAATACTGCTGCTGTGTATGATTTCAAATGTTTGATGAATTTTGCTGTTTTTCTCTTAACAATTTCCTTTGAAGGGCCATACTTTATAAGTTTGTATTTTAAAATTATCTGGCTATATCTTAATCTTGTCTATATCTGTTCAAAACATCAAATGAATATGAAATGTTTTTGAAGATTTTCAGTTTTCTTTCTTCTCTTTCTGCAGAGGTTTTAAATTACTACCTGGTATGCAACATTGGATACCCAAACCCTTTTCAACAGGTAAGTCAATGTCTATATACTATCCACTCCATTTTTGTGATTTCTTGCATCTCTGTTGGATGTATATTTTTCTGTTGCGTGTAGCTTTTAAAAGGAAACTGTGCCTGGCTTGTGAAGGTTGACATGGTCATTCCACAAGCACAACCAGATAAAAATTTAACATTAAAAATTTACATTCAAATACAAAATTGCTGCCATTATAACTATGTAATTGAACTGTTGCATTTTTCACAGCTACAGCAAGCAGACAAGCAATATTATATAAGAAGTAGGAGAACGATTAGGCCATTCAGCCCATGAAGTCTGCTCAGATTGTGAATGATCCACCTCTCTCTGAGTGAAGAAGTTGCTTCTCCTTTGTCCTAAATAATCTGCCCCTTAGTCTGAGGCAGTCTTTCCTGGATCTAGATTTACCATTCATAGGAAACATCCTGTTTACATTTACTCTATCGTATGCAATGATATTGCAAGTTTCAATGAGATCACCTCTCAATCCCCGACATTTTAAAATATGCAGTTTATTTGGTTTCCCCTCCTGAGGCACTCCTTCCATCCCAGGGATTAGTCTGGTGAACATCCATTTCAGTCTGTCTAATGCAAGTGAGTCCTTCCTTTGATAATGTTGTACACAGTATTTTGGATGTGGTCTCACCAAGGTTCTGTACAATTGCAGCAAGACATTGTTTCTCTTGTACTGAAAACCCACTGCAGTGAAGGTCAGCATACCACTTGCCTTCCTATTTGCTTGCTGCATCTGCATACTGGCTTTTAATAACCCATTCATTCCTATTGTTTTCTGTCTGTTAACCTGCTCTCAATCCATAGCAGTCTATTAACCGCAATCTCGTGTTCTTTAATTTTGTGTACTAACTTCCTTTAAGTGACTTCATCAAAAGCCTTCTCTGCTGGAACAGATGATCATAACGGGGAGGTACTTGAAGATTGGCCCTATTTAACATACTGGAGGTTGGGAGCGAGGACGTTTGATGAGTTTAAAAGGATTAGGCAGCTGGAATTCCTGCATGAGGGAAGTCTGCGATGTTCCTTCTGAGGATGCCAAGCAGGATACAGAGAGTAACTGAAGGATTAAACCACAAGGATTCAAGTCTGAGATAATGGCTAAGGGTTCCAGAGAAGTAATTATCATTTGGCAGAGCAAATGTAAAGGTGACCTGACCTGACCTTCTTGTGGTGCAGAGATAGAATTCCTGCCCCAGACCGGAAGTTCCACCTGCTCCAGAGGTGTGTAATAACATCTCTGACCAGGTTGTTTAGAAAAATAGGTAAAGGTGACTCAACAGGAAAGGGAAGAAACAAGACAGACAAGTCTGACAGGAGTCGAGGGAAAGTGAACAGTGTCAATGCAAGTAGTGGGCTCTGGCCCTGAGCAACTACAAAAATACACACACAGAAAGGCCGGAGAGAATTCAAACGAAGTACACATGGCAGGGATTAAGACAGATGTGTCCTGTATTGTAAACAGCATGGAGGAAAATAAATTGAAAGTAGGATGACATTGTTTATCATTGTGCATCTAAATGCTTTTCAATTCAACTATTTATATGGTACACTAGAAACATAAGAATTCACCCCAGCACTGCAAGCTCAGGACACCGTTTGAAGTCAGGCTGTTATGAAAAGCTTTCAAACAATATCCACACAGATATTATCGAGAACAAGCCTAGCATGTCTCACTGCCTGCAGTGTCAGTGTCATAGCACCAGACATCCCAGGACATGGAATCCAGGTCTGTTGCTGCTGGGATATCCATAGCACTCCTGAAATTCAGGGCCTGAAACTTAATTCTGAGGAGGTGGAGGATGCTTGTATGTGGTCCTTTTAATGTAGGATTCCATTTGCAAACTGACTACTGCACAGTCCAGATTAAGCAAGGTCTTAGTCTGACGGCAAGGGTAGCTGAGATAATTGGATACCAGGCTATGCTACATGAAGTGGGAATAACACATTGTTGCCCCTATCCGCCAACACAAACTGGACCAGTAGGGAGTCTAAGTATACTGGACCAGTCAAGAATGGATCAAAAGTTAGGAATACTGCTGTGAGTAACTCCCCAGATTATTTCCGCCATCAGAAAGGAGATAGAGGGCTTGGTGTCATTGTGTAATGATAACAACCTCTCTCTCAATGTCAGCCAAACAAAAGAACTGATCGTGGACAATCTACATCAACGGAACTGAGGTGGAGAGGGTTGAGAGCATCAAGTTCCTAGGAGTGACGATAACCGACAACCTGTCCTGGACTTTCCACATAGATACGACAGTCAAGAAGGCACAACAACGCCTCTTCCTCCTCAGGCGGCTCAGGAAATTCAGCATGTCTATAAGGATGCTCACCAACTTTTACAGATGCACCGTAGAAAACATGCTATCTGGGTGCATGACAGCCTGGTAAGGCAACTGCTCTGCGCAGGACCACAAGAAACTACAGACGGTTGTGTGCACAGCCCAGGCCATCACAGAAGCCAAGCCCCCATCCATGGACTCTATTTATCTCTCATTGCCGCAGAAAGGCTGCCAACGTCATCAAAGACCCCTCCCACCCTGGTAATGCTCTTCTACAAACTCTTCAGTCAGGCAGAGGATACAGAAGCTTGAACACGTGCACCAACAGGTTCAAGAACAGCTTCTTCCCTGCCTTTATTAGACTGATGAACGGACTGTCTGAATTCAAATAACGTTGATCTTGCTCATGTTGATCTTAATTTGTGCACCTCCTGTGCAGTATAACCTGTATGCCACGCTCTATCTAAGCACCCATGATCTGTATGTCCTTGTTTGTTATGATCTTCCGGTACTTCTCGCAAAACAAAGCTTTTCACTGTGATTAGGTACATGTGACTGCAATAAATCAAATCAAATCAAATCAAATCATCCACAAAGCACAGTCGATAGTGTGATCAAATACTCTCCAGTTGTTTGGAAAGGCATTCAACATCATCCGGGACACTACAGCCTGCTTGATTGGCACCCCATCCAGTATCTCAAACACCCAGACTCTTCACCACTGACACAGAGTGGCAGCAGCGTGTACCGTCTTCAAAGAAACTTCTCAAGGTTCCTTTGACAGCACCTTGCAAACCCATAATCTCGAGCACCCAGAGACAACAAGGCAGCAGATGCTTGGATATACTACCAGCTGCAAGCTCTTTTCCAAGCCACTCACTGTCGTCTTTCCTTGACTGTCACTGGTCAAAATAGTGGAACTTATTTCTCAATGACACTGTAGGTGTCCCTACACCTCATAGATCACCTTTTTCAAGGCAATTAGGCATAGATAACGAATACTGGCCTAGTCAGTGACATCAGCATCCAACAAAAGATGAGGAAAACTTCTACTTTTTTCAAGAGACCTCCTGAATATAGTTGTAGCAAACCTTCAGGACCCTCGAATGGAAGAAAGTCCTCTTCAATCCCACTCAGTTCAGTTTTTAGTCAATGGTAGAACCCTCAGGATGTTTAATTGGAGGCTTCAGCAATGGTAATGCTTTTGAACTTCAAGGGCTGATGATTAGATTCTCTCTTGTTGGAGATGATCATTGGCTGGCACTTATGTGACATGAATGTTATTTGCCCCATGTCAGCCCAAGCCAAAATATTGCCCAGGTCTTGCTGCATTTGGACACAAGCTGAGGAGTGACAAATGGTACTGAACATTGTAGAATCGTCAGTGAACATCCTCACCTACTGATCTTAATGTGGGCAGTTCATTGGTGAAGTATCGGAAGATGGTTCAATCTAGCACACTACCATGAGGATTACCTCGTAGCCCAAAAAGGAGTACTAAGAACTTAATTAAACAAACACTTATTTATTAAATCGATCAAGTATCAATATTTAATATAAATATTCATTCATTGCAACATTTATTACTTTATCTAATTTAACTTCGACTGTAACTCACTTCATTTAACTTCACATTACCTCACTTTGACTTAATCCACATTGAACTTTAACTCTATAAGTTTGGCTTGAATCAAATACTGCCGTGGTTTGAGTGAAGGGGCCAGCTTTGTTTCTCCATGTAGGCCTCGCCTCACGGTTTTTTGTTTCTCTGAAGATTACATAAGGGCACATACTTTTCATATGTGGTCTCGAAGCCTTCACCTGAGAAAATTCTTTTGTTATCCTTTATTCTTTATTCATTCACCGGATGAGGGCATCGCTGGCTAGGTAGCATTTATTGCCCAAAGGGCAGTTGAGAGTCAACCACATTGATGTGGGTCTGGAGTCACATGTAGGCCAGACCAGGAAAGGATGGCAGTTTCCTTCTCTAAAGGACATTAATGAACCAGATGGGTTTTTCCGACAATGGATTAATGGTCATCGTTAGATTCTTAATTTCAGATATTTATTGAATTCAAATTCCATTGTCTGCCGTAATGGGACTCGAACCTGGGTCCCCAGAATGTAATCTGGATCTCTGGAATAACAGTCCAGTGATAATACCACTAGGCCATTGCCTCCTCCTGTTAACATATCTGAAAGTGTGCTGGGTTTCCAGAAAGAGCTGTTGAACTCAGCCAATGAATTGATCAAAGCCTGATCATATTGTTTGATCCCAGCCAATGGAATTTTACTGGTTGAAAACAACCTTCGAGATATTAAACAGCTGCATTCCATGCTCCATATAAGGTAATATGGTGCCAGTATCTCTAGCTGGTCACACAACATTGGTCTGATTTTGTCAACATGTGAAAATGTAGGTCACAACACGTCTTGGCTGCAGTTTAACTGAGGTCAGAGTTTAAGCTAGCTTGATCAAAATTCCCAGCCTGCTTGATTGTAGCTCTTAACCAGTCTAGCAGCCATTACTACTGCTGGCCATCCAACCACAACCTGTAACAATGTCCTAGAGCTAAGATGATTTCCCTCCAATCGTCATCCTTTAAGTCGGATATAACACCAACCTATGTAGAGTTTTCTCCCTGATTCCCATTAATTCCAGTTTTGCTAGGACACTGATGCCACATTTAGTGAAAT